AACAGTCACGTGGTCTAATGGTTATGATTTCTCGTTCACATCAGCTGAACGACCCGAGAAGGTTCCCGGTTCGATCCCGGGCGTGACTATTTTTGTCGATCTCAGACGAGCATCGACATCGCATCATAGGCCGCAGTCGTCGGTTTTGTTTTAGGCTCCTTTTTTATTTTCATCGGAATTTCCCCGCAGTATATATGTCCTAGTCTTCCTTTCATCTAGTCTTATGACGTAGGCCTGGTTCGTAAGGCGAGAATGAAATCACTTTGATCTGTTCGTTCATTGTTGATCATTAGCTTCGAAGCGGAGAGTAGCCAGGATATATACTTGCATGCCTCATCATGCTCATGCGGGAACCCACCTTTTGTTGTTGGAAAATGAATCGTCACAGGACCTCGCGATCGTTCCTTACTTGGGTCCTTCGCTTTTCCAGCGGCTATCTTAGCCATATTGAGGACCATCCCTCTTGAAAACTCCTGCGTGGGAAAGTTTATTCGATCACTGTGGTCTCGCGTCGGCTCCCGAGCTGGCATCCCCAGTGTTAACCACTTGTCCGCGATTTGATCACTTTTCCATCGTGCAGCAAGACGCAGATTCTCCCCATCTCGCCACAGCTGAACCTCCAAGTCTCCCTTAGATGACTTTTTATGGCCGAAGAAGAGCTTGGACTTGGTTGTAAGAGATGTGGCACGTCTGGAGAACACGAGTTCGTGGGAGGATGCCAGTGAGCTCATGAATCCCTGCAGGGTGAGCACTTCGTCAAAGCTTATCGCAACGCTTCTCGTCACCTTCTCGCTGTGGGAGAATCGAACCTGGGAGTCAGCACGGTACAATTGATCCACGTGTGATGATATGTAGTGGGTGTGAAATATATGCGGAAATCGAACACTGCGGCTGCCATGCTCATAGCTGTAGTCGATGTCTCTGTAGACATAATATACACCACTAGACTTCCAGCCCGCGTGTGCTTGACACACCATGATGGTCTTGTATTTCTTGTGATCCGGAGTGTCGTCCACTGCGTCGTAGACGTGACCCGAGCTTTGGGTCTGAGACCAGGAGAATATCGGTTTCGCGTTCAGACTCATGATAGCCTGCTCAAACTCCTCTGCTGCCTGCTCGGTTGACCATTCTATACTAATCCCGACGTTGGGATTCTTCTCATCATAAACATTGGAGTAAAGGGGGTTGTAGTTCCCATCAGTCTTATCGGATCGTTCTTGCCCAGTATCTGACCACTTCAGTAGCGCCTGCCTCGATCCTTTTTTGCGGTTGATTTGTACACAGCTCAGAGGCATGAACCAATCAATACACATTGGATCTTTGTCGGCCACAGAAGAACTGACGACCATTCTCCGGATGGATCGCCATGCTTCGCCAAATGATCTCTCTAGAATGCGCACTTCACAGGATCGGTGAACCAAAGCTGGACTCATGGCTACCATGCTGGGTGCTTTGAGCTGCTCCAGTACCTCAACAGTGCCTCTATAGATCATAGTTTCGGTAATCTCATCCGAGCTTACTGGCTCCCGGGGCCACACCGCATCGAAGTAGGCTTTCGGAACGCTGATGAACTGTACCAAGTCGGGCAAATACTGAAACGAGATAGAAACGCTGACCGTTTCAAACATCAGCGTCACCGGTTCCGTAGACTTGGCAACCGAAAGAATGTTGAGAGAGGCTTCTGAGACTTGAACAAGCTGGGCCAAATCTGCTGGCGTGACTATGACCGGGTCAGATTCAACCAATGTCTGTAATGAAGGGGGTATAACTCACAGTCCCGTTGGAGGCAAAAAGTGCCCATTTGATTGCATATGGTAATTTTCGGCTCATTGTCACCTTCCTTGGTAGACAACAGAAGCATGTATGGGGCGCCTTTCGTTCTCATGCGAAGCTTCTTGCTACCTACCCCGGCGTTGACGAACGTGCGGAAGAAGACTTGTTCGTCCTCATTGCCTGCGTCTTCGATCTCGACCGTAGTATAACGGACATCGCCTAGACCTAAACTTGGATTGATATTCCCCGTACTTTCTTCGGGTTGTATTGTTTCCAAAATCTCCTGGTTGTGTGAATGAATGGCAGCATAGTCTGGAACATCGACGGAGCTGAACTGGGAGAAGTCTTCCCTAATTCCCTATAGTCCAGGTTAAGTGGAATCCAGCATATGTGCTCGAGCTACTCACTTCCGACAAATCGGAGACCATTTTCCGATTCTCATTCAAGAACAATTCCTCCGGATTGCCAGTTCTGAGCACAACATCATATAGGATATATGAGGCCTTGAGCAGGTCAACATATGCTTGATAGCTGGAGGACCACGATAAAGTTGATGGGCTAACGCTTCCACGATTATCCAACGGGCTTGGCTTGTCCGCGTTGGCAAGGACTGCACGGGCCTGAGACTCTGTTAGACGTCGAATTACAGAAGCCAAAACGTACTGTGCCATACCTTCAGCAGCCACCACACAGCAATGTGTAACCAACCGCTCGTGGTGAGATTCCGCACTTCCTGCCCTTTGACCACAGACGCATCGAACTTGAGAATGAGCTCAGCGTCCGGTTGGTGGAATCTATCTCGAGGCTCATAGCGCAGTGATCGACGAATCTGTTCCCGCGTTCGAGAGTGAGGTGACATATCTGTGTCTGGCGTGCCTTTCCCCACGAAGGCTGGAGTCCGAGAATGCAACACCTCTTTTTCGGTTGAGAATAGATTCATAGAGGGCATGTTGAAGTTTGTATTCCCCGATACGCTACTAGAAGGGGTAAGCGTACTTCCCGACATGACGGAACCATCAGAGCATCCGGAGGCCATCGACTCTGTGGAGACTGACCCACGTGTGGGATCACTGCTGAAGCCATTGGGTGTCTTCACATCTGAAATGGTCGATTCAAAGATGGAGCTTCCCTCTAGCTCGGAGATCCCGACAAGGTGAGGTCTTCGAGATGATATTGGGGGTGGTGGTGGAAAAATGGGAGATTTTTCGGCCTGTGGCGGCGGTGATGGTAAGGGAGACTCGTCTGTTTGTCAATTATCCAGCACTGAGTTGTTGAAGCTTCCTCGTGAATAACTGAAAGGGTTAATAACCATGATCCCAAGCCTTGGCACGACCAGGGTCCTTACCTCACAATCGAACTCATGCACAAGCCTAAATTATGCGCATGGGCGGATACCTCCGATCTCAACTCTTCAACTTGTCCTTGTTGTGTTGGCCAGTCCATCTTCTCCCAGAACTCCTTCTCGCTGCTGGCGCCAATGGCCCTGTATCTGGCCACTAGTTTATGGAGTGCATGCAGGGTCTCTAAGCAGGCATGAAGAGAAGGCTGCAGATCAACTCTATGATCACCTCTCACACTTTCGATGCTGTTTTTCAGAGCACGAAGAGTGTTATGGAGAGAGAGTAATCCGGCCACGAGTTGTTTGAAGCCGTCAGGCGCCTCGCCACGAACAAGATTGCAGTTATGATACAAATCCCATGCTATTCTGATCAAATTGTATAGGGTGACATCCACATTATCGACGGAAGTCATGATGTCGTAGAAGTATGTCCGAGGTAGAGTCCCTGTGAGCATGAATGACCGGAAGTCGAGAGAGATTTCAGACTTTTGAGATTAAGCCCTAGCTGTCCTCACTTGTTCCAAGCGCTTTCAGTGAGGTTCTCACCCAAGTGTCGATCTCACCTATGGTCGAGGGACTAGACCATCGTGGGCTAATGGCATCTGGGATAGGCTTTGCTGCAATGACTGAGCAATAAGACACTAGGAAGAGCTTCTCAGAGCCAAGTCTGGTTCGTCGAGGAGTGATCAGGTAGTTTCAACGAATGGGAAAGGTGACCGAAGAGTGGGCTGTGTGCGTTGCGGTTGGAAGTTCTTTCAAGTCGCGGCCACCAAGAAGGCGACAAAGAGCTGAGGCGTGGTTCGCTTTCAAAACCTGCACCCCACACAAATCCCACATCCCACATCATGCTGCGATCGATTCTTCCTCGCTTATAATCACTGAAAATGAGAGTAATAGGGTACGCCGGAGAGACAAGATTGGGTCGCATGGTAATGTTCAGCCAAGGTTGATGGCTCCGTCAAGGGTCTTGGAAGGTGCAGTGCGGAGTCAAGCATTCCAGAATGATATGGGTACTAGTACTAGTAGGTTTATCTGCTACAACTGAGTCGCAGAGCCAACAGCAGATTTTAGAAATTTCTTCTATATTGCACAAAGTCTCAGGCTATCTCAAATTACTTCTTGCATGCATTGCCTTGAGATACTTTTTCTTCTCGAATGCTATGTGCAACATCGCAAGCATTAACCACCACTACGATAAGACATGACAGGGATGCGAAGAAACAAAGCAGCCGGGGTTTGCGTCCTCAATGGCAACTATCGTATTGCTTCCCTTGGCATTGGCCACCCGGAATTCAGATCGCAGCATTGATAATAGCGAAGCAGCTATGGTTTGCTGGCATCACTTGCTATATTTCGGATCATGATGCTAGAGTCGAAACGAATAAGAAACGAGAGTTATTTCGAAGTTGGAGAAGACTAACGTAGTGGTCGCAACAGGACGTGACACAGCCATGATCATGTAGAGAAGAAGCCTTTGGTGATGCTGTGAAATAACTAACGTTAGCTATGGTGAATCAGCTAGAATGTGAAACAATGCTAGGTTTGAGCTTTTGAGTACAGCCAATAAAACCATAATAAAATAAGACAGAGACAAAGTGACCAAGGCATGTGGATGAGAGAAATTCTAGCCGAGGCGACCATTCGAATAGCGGATTTGGATACTGGTAGCTTGAGACTAGGTAGGTAAGATCTTAAGTCTGGTGCTATGCGGAATTTGGTTGGTGGCAGGTCCGAATCACTGTACTACCTAACACCTCAGCTTCATTCTCACCATCAGCTCTCTTTTCTCGGTAGACCATTTCCTATATAATAGCGTGGAAATTTCTTCCAGAGACAGTGCATGCGGCTCCTTCTCTTCATGTCCATACCCAAACCTCCGAAACACAAAATGAACTCCCAGTTCAAAATCATCGAGCACGCTATTCCCTGCTCTTGCATCCGTGAATACCACCACCAAGTCAAGACAGACAGACCATTGCAATTGGAAAGCAAGCAATACATCGCACTCAACAACTCCAACCACAGTCAGGATGGCATATCGATCATAGCAGGACATGCGAATGGGACTCGCAAGGTCAGGAACAACTCTATTCAGAGTGGCGCACTGTAATAGCCTACTAACGATCAAAACCTTAATGTAGGAGTGTTATGAGCCTCTTTGGGATGAGCTGATGACAAGCTTCGAGGGGAAAAACAAGGCTATCTGGTTCGCGGACTGCTCCAACCAAGGCGCCAGTGGAGTGTTGAACGAAGATAACTTTGGCGACGATCGTGAGACAAATCTCCCGATGCACTACTCGCTCAATGATGGGAATGGTTCTGCTGATCATGGTCACTATAGCGAACTGGTTTGACCACTCTCGAGATCTGCTGGGTATGGTGAACGATTTCAGTGATCAGATCGAGCCTCCAATCGTGGGAGTTGCACATAGTTTCAGCTGCTCGCAATTGTACTTGTCCAGTATTCTCCCGCATAGGAAAAGCTTTGGCACTAATATCTCTCAATCTCAGTGTTCATCTGTCAATAATGCATCCCCGGCTCTTTCATTCTCTCATCTTTCTCGAACCCATGATTCAAGTCGAAAGTCCTTGTAAATTGGGTGGACGAAGTCCGGCTCTCTGGGCCAGCACCCGACCTGATCTGTGGTCCTCACGGCACGAAGCCGAGATGTATATCCGCAGTGACCCATTCTGGCGCCGCTGGGATTCCCGTGTAGTCGATAGATATATACAATATGGCCGTTGTGCTCTCCCGACGGCGCTCTACCTCCTCCACGCCCCAGGAAGACCCCTCCTACCTGAAGCCGTGACTTTGACCACTACCAAAGCGCAGGAAGCCTGGACATACTTACGCCTCAATGCAACGCCTGAGATAGATAGTGACGACAAGAGTGGTTCTCCTACAAGGACAGAGCGTTTTCTAGGCCCGGACTTATCCCTCTCTGCCAAGGAAGGCGACAATAACAACCGGAGTTATGTGACAATATGCCCGTGGTCATGTATTGCCTTTGAGCTTCTTCCATACGTCCGGCCACCGGTATTCCTCATCTACGGAGAGAAAAGTCATATCAATACTCCGGCACGGAGATAGGATAAGATGAATCGAATTGGGACTGGGCTTGGCGGAGGCAGGCAAGTTCGAGCTGAAGTCTTGCTCGGAACCTCCCACATGGCACCGCTGGAGATGGTGCAGGATACAGCTTGTCTGATGTCTGGCTGGTTAGAAGTTCAGTTGAATGCATACCGCGAGGAATTGGAGTTTTGGATGCGCCACGACAGCAAGAAGTCTGAACAGGGTGGAAAGGCTTTATCGGCCCAATGAATGGAGTACATGCAGTCGCCAGTGGATACTAAGCGTGAGACGAAAAAAAGGCCGAGTCATCTATAACTTGATGATAGTACTCGGATTAGGTAGAGGCATGAGAGACTAATCGTGTATCATTGACACCTGATCTCGCCAGGTATTACTTCTCCCACACGAAGTGTATGCTGCTTCAAGCAGTACTCCGGGATCCTGGATGTTGCATCATCACCATCAACAAGAGAGAATTTGAACAATTATGAGATATTTCCAAACGCTAAGGATACACTTTTTGATTGACACCACGATTATAATTGCACTGATAAGGTCCAGCATCAGCTCTTATCCAGCTCCGAACACCGAATCTATTCCGACAAACGCCGACCTAGATGCACTACACATAAAAGCGACGATAATGCATCTCTCGAAATCATTTTAGATTCCAAGCTAAGACGGAACAAAACCATGAGTCTACACTTGGAGAAGTCAAACCAATGCAGCAATGACGCATTGGAGGAGAATGAGTCCTCTTCCGCCCATTCTGACGATGACCTCCAACACCTACTCCATGTTGCAGACTCTCTACCGCCTCGGGTCTGGATAGCAGCATTAATCGCCATTTTCGAAAGATTTACCTACGAGGGCACCCAAAGCATATTTCGTACGCAAATTGCAAAGTTCTCCACATGGCTTTAGCGTCTAGAGCAGCATAGCTTACCGGTTCTTCTTCTAGAGAATTACCTACAGCATAGCCCCTCTGATGCAATCCCCGGGGCTCTCGGCCTTGGAGAATCACGAGCCACGACGGTCAATCTGGCATTCACAGTCTTGGTAAATATCCTGCCGTTGCCGATTTCGATCTTAGTCGATGGTCGATTAGGACGGTACCTGGCTCTGCAGATCTTCTTCGTGTGGGGGCCGATCAAAGAATCTTTTTGGATCCACACACTCGCTGATGAATGGTAGCATCTATGCACTGGGATCTTTGACTCTCTTCATCACTTCCCTACCTGTCATAATACATAACGGTGCTGCGGCACCGGGTTTCGCCATGGGAGCTGCGCTGATTGCCATTGGGCTTGGAGGGGTCCTGGCCTCACTTCAACCTTTCATCGGTAAGTGATCTCATTGCTGTTTACTCACCCTCTTCAGGCAAAGAAGATGCTTATTGAGTTAATTCTTGACGTTGCAGCGGATCAATATACAGATCCCGGAGGGCGCATTGAGACTCGGCCAAATGGCCGGCAGGTAGTGGTGGACCGCGACCTCACCATTCAATACATCTACAGTGTCTACTACTGGTACGCCAGCTATACCACTCCTCGATCTCCATGACTGGCTCCGAGATTAACTCGACTTAGGATGACTAACCTTGGGGCCATGGGGGCTTTAGCCACCACCATGATGGAGAGATATGTTGGGTTCTGGTCGAGCTATCTCCTGGCTCTTTGCTCCGTGTTGGTGTGCCTCGTCATCGTGCAAGCAGCAGGGAGGATTTTCGGCAAGTGCTGCCTCTCAACCATGTGAACAAGCCTGACTGACGATGAGCAGTCCATCCTCTACCACAAAGCTCCGTTCTTCCCCAGGCCGCCCAGTGTCTCTGGTACGCATGCCTGAGTGGTTTCAACCTCGAAGCATGCTATCCTCAGACCCAACTCACAATGCACCAACGTGTCGTTCCATGGGATGAAGGATTTATCGCCGAGCTTCGAAGCGGGCTATCCGCCTTCAAAATCTGGTGAATTGTCCCAGTAACACAGCACCAGGTCTTAGCTAACCAACACATCCTAGCATGGGCTGGCCCATCTTCTGGCTCTGCATGTCCCAAGCCTCTCAGCAAGGCATATCTCAAGCCGGCACAATGCAGAGCCACGGTATTCCCAACGACGTTCTCAAGGTTTCCAACCCCATGGCATATATCCTCTTCGGGATTTTGGTCCAGAAGATATTATACCCGTTTCTCCAGCGCATCGGGATCTTGTTCATCCCAGTCAACCGCATCACCCTTGGATTTTTCATCATGTCCTTAGCCATGACCTATTTTGCCGTTCTTCAAGCTGCAATCTACCACACAAGACCCTGCTATGATCACCCATTGGCCTGTGCTGCATCGAACAGTGATCACGGCCAGATTCCAAATCAGATCCACATCTTGATCCAGCTCCCAACATACATCATCATCGCGCTGGCCGAGGTGTTCTGCTGGCCGACGGGCGCAGAATACCTTTACAGCCATTCGCCAAAGAGCATGAAGTCGGTGATGCAGGCGTGCTATGTAGGAACGTTGGCGCTCGGCTACGGGCTGGGTATGGCACTGTCACCGCTTGCAAAGGACCCCTACCTTGTGATTCTTTGGTCGTTGGCAGCTGGATTGGTGTTTGTCTGTGCTTGTGTCTTTTGGGTGGCCTTTCGTCGGCTAGGACGGGAATCTAGTGGTTAGAACAGGGTGTATCCTTCGGAATTTCACCATTGAGAAGTGTTTGAGAATTATGACATTGAACTGAGGGGAGCCAAGAACAATAGGATCGAGCTAGCGGAATTGAGACTACATACACACAAGGAGTTGACCAGCAGGCGGGCTCGTCAATTGAAACTCATAAATTTGGTCGATATTGAAGAGAAAGCTCGTTGCTAGTTGAATTGCTGCTACGCCCTTGAAACAAAAGGAGAGCATGAAAGACTCGCCTCTTCTCAATGAGATTGATCCGGCTCGCTGCAATCCTGTGGATGGTGCAGTACAAAGCAAGGAGTTGGTTTTACGACAACAAGGTGATATAGCAACAGACGCAGATTATGAGTAGATCTGAGAAGCCTTCAGTGAGTGTTGTCAGAAAGCACACAAGAGAGCTTCGCGGTCTGGTACAATCGACTGTGCAAGTAGCTCTTTGTTGTCTTCAGGCGGGACATCCAGACATCGGCACAAAGAACTCGAACGACAACATTGGATTCCTGCGAGAAAGCCCTGGTACTGTACTTCGGAGAACGAGGTTGTTTATACTGCCTGCAAAAGAGGATTCCCAGGCAGAGGTGAAAGAAGCTGGAAATAGCATGAAAGAAAGCACAAAGCATCGAGGCATCGTGAGTGGGGCGCCACCATCCCCAAAACAGACAAGTCCAACCTGCCTGAGGCCGCGGGATCGCGCATCGACGCGACTTTCTTTGAGGGCGAGACCTTCTCAGGGGGGGGGAAGACCACTTCCTCTTAAACCTCAAGAGATTCAACTGACTTGTTCCTTCTCGTTCATTGTCCTCCCCCGATTAACCACCACGTCTCCAACCCGCCCACCATGAGACTTAAAGACTCGGTCGAGTCCATCCTCACGACCGCGCAGTCCCACCTCACGAATATAGCCTCAAACCTGCACTCGCACCTGCTCAGCACCACCATTGCTGCGCAGACCGTTGATCGCATCACGAACCCCGCGCCTCCTCCCGCCGTGGCTTTCCCCAACCCCAACGCACCCGTTCACACCGACGATAACCTTCTCCAACAAGCCCTCCTGTACGACTACAGCGCGATCATGGCCCAGCCGTTTGTGCTGGACGTGCCCACCGTCAGCTGCCTCGTCATGGCCTTCCTCCCGATGCTGGTTGCCTACATCATGGGCCGCCGGCTCATCCCAGCGCACCAAGACCTGGCCAGCCTGCTCTTCTTCTGGCACGCGTACGACGCGCTCACGCACTTCCTGATCGAGGGCTCCTTCCTGTACCACTGCTTCTTCAGCTCCATCACCATCTCCGCCACTCAGTCCCGCTTCGGCCCCGTGTTCCTGAACCAGCGCGACCGCGCCTACGGCGCCACCTACGGGGCCTCGTGGGACCCCACCGCCCGCCTGTGGCAGGAGTACGCCAAGGCCGACCACCGCTGGGGCGGCGCCGACCCCACCGTCATCTCCATCGAGCTGCTGACCGTCCTGCTCGGGGGCCCCGCCGCCGCCTACATCTGCTACAGCCTGTACCGGCTGTCGCACGGGCGGCTGGGCAGCAAGCAACGCGGCGTGGTCGTGGCTCGGACCTGGCTGGTGGCCGCCTGTCTGGCCACCGCCGAGCTGTACGGCGGGTTCATGACCTTCGTGCCGGAGTGGTTGGCCGGCAGCCCCGCGCTGAACACGAGCCACTGGATGTACGTGTATGTCTACCTGACGTTCTTCAACGGGCTGTGGGTCATCGTGCCCGTCTGGGTCATCTGGCGCGCGCAGAAGGAGATCGTCCGCGCCTTTGTCGGTGGCACGCCCGAGTTGATGGGCGGCGCTGCTAGCTCTGCTGCGGCTCCTTCGCGGAAGAGATAAGTGAAATTCTATGGACTGTATAGTTGGTTTCGAGTGTGCGACTTGCGCCGTTCTGCTTTGTATTATGGATCTCTTTTCTTTCTTATCCAATAGACTGTTGTTCACCTATCATGTATATTTGGTGTATATACCCTGTAGCTAAAAGCTGTGATTGTTGTTCCTGAGACGGTACTTGTGAGGTTAGGAAAGAGTAGCCGAGGCAGCGAACTAACCTCACTAGTCGTGGCGGTCTCGTGATATAACCTCTAGTCGGCAATCAAGTCCTCGTCGTTGCTTGGATAATAGATCCCTAAGCACATATCTATGAAGATTACGTGCGAATCCCCCACTGCTCACTCTGCGGCCGGAAGTTCTATAGAGACATTCTCGGGCAGTGGTACGAAGGTCTTGACCAGGTCCAGCCATCCATTCAAACAATGCGCACTTTCCATCGTAATGATACACTCCGTTTCTATCAGACAGGCTATCTAGTCTCTCGTGTCGAAGCCTTACCATCTACCTCTCCCACTGCGCGCGACCAGAGCCATTCGGAGATATTCTATGGTGTGAGGTTTTTGGGCTTAATGGATTGCTGACAGCGGGCTGATCCGAATGCAGGATGAAATCAAATGGATGTTCGGAGGCGATGTTGATCTCATTTCCCGCCAGATTGGTGAGCCTTTTATATGATTCAATATGGTATTGATCTGATTTGTCTTGTAGAAGGGAATACTTGGTGACAGCTGCTGTCACGGAGCGGAGACAAGGGGGCTTGGTTGGTCGAGAGGCATGGCAGAAGTATGTTCTCAATCATTCAGCATACGTACCAGGACTTGAAATCGAAAGAGCTGTACCGGAATACCCAGAGAACACTTCTAGCCCAGCCCGATCATGAGGGCGACGTGTGCTTGTCCCAGCATGTCTCGGGACACAATTCGCCCAATTCCTGCACTTGCGTGTCTGAAGAAAGCCCTTCGTCTGGACCAATATGACAACGCAAAAGACATGAGCTATTTTTGATACCCGGCCGGGTAAATCTCTATCGGTTAAGAAGCCAGAACGCCAGGTTCACCTCTCGACTTACACCCAAGTCGCCGGGTATCAATATAGTACATTCTCACATTGTTCAGTGATATGCGGGGAACGCTCATTGAAAAGCCTGTGCATGGGTTCCCACAAGTAAATTCAAGTTCGTCAGTCCGTTCGAAGGAAGGACGTCTTTTTGAACGGATCAAAGTCGAATATGGCACATATCAAGGCAACTCATGCCTCAACTGATCTTTGTGGCCCACCAGCTCAATCCGCGTGGGCTCACTATGCAGCTCACCCAGCCTCGATTCCCCGGTAGCCTCATACATATACCCTGCATTCTGTGGCTGCGACGACACACCTGGCTGGTACCCGGGGGACTGCGTCTTCTTCCGGCGTCGCATCAGCAGCCAGATGGCGGCCGCCAATGCAGCGACACCTAGCACCCCTCCAACCACGCCCCCGGCAACCGCCCCTGTATTGACCCCGTGTGAAGGGGCAGTCGATGCAGCCGTTGTCGTCGTCGTCGAAGATACCGCCGCCCCGCTCGTTCCAGTCGTCGTTGCAGTTCCTGTTATCGTCGCTGTACCCGAACTAGCAGTCGCACTCGCGCTCGCAGTCGCAGTCGTTTCTAAGCCAACACCACCCAAAACACCCCTTAGCCCTCAGACTCATATCCCGGATAACCCCCAAACCCCAGTGCAGGGAGGATGGAACGAAATACCTTGCGCAATGACATTCAACGCCGAAAACGACGCATCCCCCTGAAATCCCGCCGGCGCACACCCGACCCACGTCTCCTTCTTCACCCCAAACCCTTGGGTATCGCCCTCGCAGCAGAAATACCCGCTGTAGTTGTACAGGGCCCACTGGGCGTCGGCGCACACGGGCGGGTCCTCGATCTGGGCGGTGCAGTCGGTCCAGCTCGGGCAGCAGACGTTATTGGGGATGCTGACCTTGCTGCCGGGGCAGTAGGAACCCGACGGGCAGCAGGCGTACCAGGTGTCCCAGGTGCGGCCGCAGCTGACCTCGTCGGCGAGGCAGGTGTTGTTGCGGCGGGAGGCGAAGCCTTGGATTTCGGTGGTGTTGTCGGTCATTGTGTAGTCCTTCGTTGTGAGGGTGAAATTGGTGGGTGGGAGAGGATGGGGGGAGTAAGATGAGATGTGAAGAAATTAGGAGTAAGCGTGGGGAGTGAGACTGCCACTAACTTAACTACCACTGCCACTAGTACATTAGTTAGGGTACGGAGAAAGGAAGGTGTAAGAAGAGAACAGGAACCCTAGGTACCTTGCCTACCTACTTAAGCTATGCTATGTATTTCCGTGACTTTTCCCACTCCCCGTCTGTCCCTGCGCTAAAATGTCTAAAATGTATCGGGCACGGGCAACGGGGCCAGGGTCAAATCGAGTGGAGAATTCGCATTGACATCGACGGTGCCCGTAGGCTGCTGGCATTCCTCGCGCAGTTAGTGTGATTGCGATCGGCGGGTCGCTTACCCTGGTGATGAAGATGGGACAGGACTAGTCCAACTAACCGACTCAGTGCTCGTATGTGTAGACTATCTCACTAGATGAGGGAGGTTAAGGTGTGGTGATCTCGGTTTGATCCTTTCATCCTTTTGAACTGAGCAGATGGTCTTCCATTTGCAGAGTATCCGCTATCCGGCGGGCGGACCTGTAGGGTAGCTGCCTCTGCCATCCAAACAATGTACAGCGATGTTCTTTCGAGACAACCAGGGTAGAATTTACGGGTTAATCAATGCTGTCAGAATTGGTAGATGACGTGAGCCCCCTCCCCCTCCCCCTCCCCCTCCCCCTTCCCACCCCCCGCAAAGTGATGGATGGATGCAGACCCACTTATGCGGCTGAGGCTGTGTGAGCTGCTTATGAGCTTCCACTCATGCCTTGCACATAGCGAATGAGCGCGAACCATCTTGGCAGGTACAGTCGGTGCACAGGTGGTATATAAGCAGACAGCCAAGGTTCCGGGAAGAAGCGAACGGAATCCATATCTATTGTATAGAAACCATAATGCCTTCCTCCACCTTTGCCTCGTCAGCCTTATTCCATCCATTTTCGCTCTAGCCCTATAGCCTAACCAACCAGAGTCCAACCATGGCACGAAGGATGCCTCTTCCCCTGGGTTAGAAAGGCAGAAACTCCCACATGGGCCCAATCATCAACAAATCCTCCAAACCCATACCAGGCACCAATTCCTCCGCCTCCGTCTCCGTCTCCATCCCGACAACAACAACCTCGGGGCTCGTTGTCGTCGTGGACGTCGTGACCGTGGACGCGGACAGAACCTGACTTCTCTGCCGCTGCCGCCGCCTCTGCCGCAAGGCCTCCTCCTGCCTGACATGGGCATCCCGCCACATGGCGATCCGAGAAGTCACCTTGCTAAATACCCTCGGGACAAGGGTCCCTTCCTCGCGGGCGACCGTCACCGCATCCGCCACCTTCTGCGTGAGTCGGTCGACCGTCGCCTGATAATCTATGACCTGGCGTGCGTACTCCCTGTCCCAGAGATTCTGCGCTGGGCCATCGTCGTCGTCTCCATCGTCGTAGACGGAGATGTGGGATAGGATCAAGAAGCCGTGGCCCAGTTGGCACCAGAGGAGGTAGGGCATGTGGAAGAAGGCGGAGGAGGGGATGGCGAAGAAGGTGTCAAAGAAGGATTTTACGGCATGGAGACAGGCGTGCAGGGTGGTGAGGTGGGTGGGAGGGTAGGTGCTCTCCCTGAAGTCGGGGTCGCGGCGGAGGGCGGTGCGGTAGACGAAGAGTTCGAGGTTGTAGTATTGGAGGAGGAGGAATGCTGTCGCATTATTGGGTTCTTTGTTACAAGTGCTCTTGGTTTTCTTGTGATGCGGGGGGAGAGGGCTTACAGGACTGTGTGGGATCATCGAATGCAAGCGCAGGCTTGAGCTGTTCGAGCTCCTTCTGCAGCCATCGGATGGCAATTCCTCTGTGTGAGCAGCCCGAGGAGCTAATCGAATCATGCGGGTGGTCTGGCTGAAGGGTACGGTGGATTTTCTCCGCCATGCGAGCGAGATCGACCAGACATAACAGGTATCGATCGGATTCTCCTTGCGCCGCTGCTTGGAGCACTTGGTAGCTCTCTTCCATGTAGCTTGTATACTGCATGGGCTCAGACTCCCCTAGACACATCGAGATCCTGGCTGGGTCAGTCGTGGCATCGTCAAAACCGAGGCTGATTAGAAATACATCGTGACGAGGTAGAAGCACCCCAGATAAGCCTTGCGTTCTTCCAGAGTCCGGCCCGGGCCGGACGGCCGCTCAAACTGTCTGCACTTCATATACGACAACACGGATTGCGGCGCCCCGCTCGACACATCTCTGGATAAACCCAGGTTTTTGCTCTGAGCCACCAGAAGATGAAGATAATTACACAGTTGTTCCGGCGAGGGGACGTGGATATGCGCCCTATTTCACACACACCCCCACGGCGGTCAAAGCTGTAATCAAATAGTGAACGATCAAAATGGGGGCGACTCACCACGCAAGGAAGAGGAGAAACCCCTGAAATAGATCCAAACTACCTTCCCCGTTAACCACGACCCGTTCAACCAGGTACGCCTTGACCTTCCCGGCGATGTCCCACTGCGTCTCCTGATCCTGGCAGGTGATCATGGACATGACCATTTGGAGGAACGGTTTGCGGAGAAGCTCATCATCCGACAGAGGGAATGCGCACGCAACGAACGGGAAGCGCGTCGCCATGCGCTGGTGGAAGACGGCGATTGTCGCCTGCGGTGTCTCGTCGGACCCGCTCGAAGAATGGGTCTGTGGTTGTGGCATCTGGGGCATCTGGCCGACGGGTGTCAGGCATCCGCAGTTGGAGATTATGCCTTCAATGGGCTGCTGTGTGGCCCCCAGTAGCGAGGTCATGTTTTCCAGTTTCTTCTCTAATCGTCGCACGTCCCTGGAAATGGAGGTATTTTAGCGTCACATACACATATGGCAGTGCGAGAGAATGGACAGCACGTACGTCAACGTTCTGGTTCGGGGTTTACCGAGACTATGCGCTCCTGGGGCTTGCTTCGTGCATTCTTTCCGTAGACGATGGCATCTGCTTTGCTGTCAGTATGACTCCGGAAATACATTATGTTTCTCAAGCATTGCACCCATACCTCTGGCAGGCTTGGCTGGTTGGCCCGGGATCGCAGCGGGTCTTGGCTTTGGAGCATGGCCGGCATGCTTTGAGTGGCGTAACTTCCTGGCTGCGCATGACGAACACACAGTTAGAGTGAGAATAAACTCGCTTGGGTGAATCTAGAAGAACGAGGCAAGCTCCAGGCTGGGAGCCGGTTGAAGAGCGTAAAGGACAGGAGCTGATGACTCTTTGAGCGGGGACGGGATTCCGTGTCCGTTGTTTCTGCCTGAGGCGTCAGGGCTCCGTTCTCCGACTTGGGGGCGGAAATATAGGCATGGACCGAAGTTTATTATCGTCAAAATTGTGAATTGGATTCGATACACTGGTGGTCAATTTGATGTTGAGCACAACCTGAGCTATGAAGAGGATTCATACTACATCAATTATGCAACTGTCGAGTCTCACATGAACTCATCCGACAAATCTTATCATTGGCCTAGATTTCCGAAGACTTAGTCTAAGTATATCAACAACACCTTATCAATCTCAGCGCGAAATCAGCTGTGTGTATGACGTACCACGTGGAAACTGTCCATCTAGAACAACGAGCCCCGCCAGAGATGGGTACAGTAACCAGGGATCCTAATGACATCTTCTGTCTATCCCAACAACGCTATTGCGTTTGAAACGGAGAGTAGAGTGCGTATGAGCATAGAGTTCTACAAGAATCCGGAGAAATACAAGATCAGGAGGATGTTTAAGCAACTTGTCGAATTATGATTTCTGATTGTATTGGGTATTTGAGCCATTCAATCATGGCAAATGTATGTGATGCAAGACATGCTCAACCACAGTCAAATCCAACAACGTATGTACAGTCCAAGCAAGCTTCAACTCCTGGCGAAGCGCGGTGAAATGGTGGTCGGAGGTAGGTAAGATCGTACTATTCAGGCGTTAGTGATTGATCGTGGTGCATATGATGTGACTTGGTTGGCTAACTTACTTTACCAGCGTCCGCCGGGACCGCCTTGAGGGCCACCGTGACCGTGAGGGCCGCCGGGACCACCAGGGCCTCCAGGGCCTCCAGGGCCGCCGTGAGGACCACCGTGAGGGCCGCCAGGACCGCCAGGGCCACCAGGGCCGCCGGGACCGCCGTGAGGACCGCCTTGAGGGCCACCGAAGTGTTCAGGACCGCCAGGACCCCCGGGGCCTCCAGGGCCGCCGTGAGGACCGCCTTGAGGACCACCGTGAGGACCGCCGGGACCGCCAGGGCCAGGAGGACCGCCCTGGGGGCCGCCGTGGTGAGGGGGGTTTTCGTGGTGGTTGTGGTGGTGAAAGAGACCCATTGTGAAAGATGGATAGAGGATAGATGGTTTGTTTGTTTGATGAGGAACTCAGAAGGAACGGGGTGGTCAGCCCCTCTTATATAGACAGACAGTCGCTCAGCCAAGCAGTGGAGCTCGCAAAGCAGACCCAGACTTTCCCTTCCTCCTTCCAGAAAAGTGGCACACATCATAGCCACATACGACATCATCGGGCTAGACAGGCAACGCAGATCGGGGCTTGGCTATCAATCGAAACAGCCTCTTGAGTCAATAAACCCCGATGACACTGCCGCTGACAAAATTCCGGCAGGGGAGCTGCTGAATTCTCGAATGATGTTGCCTATCCAGGGGGAGAGAGAGCTGGGGAGAGTGGGCGCCCCCCCGATCTATCGCCCCAATCTTTGGGAGTCTTGGCATTTCCCGCTGCCACTCATTGATTTAGGGTTTTGCGTGCCTTTCGAAGTCCACGGGTGGTACGTACGCGGTTCCTGACGCGTCAGGACGGGTGCTGCCAATGACCCGACTAACGCCTGTTGACGATGATGTCTCGACGATGCGCAATTGCTGCAAACCTTGATATAAGACAGATAGACAGAGAACAGACAGGGTCTTGCACTGTTCCTCCATCCACGTAGTCAACAGACTGCGCCATGATGGTTGATGTTCCCACCGAGGGCGTCGCTAGCCGCTCCAGCGCCACCAAAAGTGGATAGAGGCATACGTACGCACGCAGCTCGACGGTCCCCACTCCATCCGCTGCAGCCCTTCAGCCTTAGGGGCGACCGGCTAACCGCTTCACCATCACATCATCCCATCGGTGCTTGGCAGTCCCTCTATGAGAGGGGCGCAGTGGCACACTATTGTTTCCAATGTTGCAAGAGCTGGAGTCGAGGGTATCTTGGCAGCACGTTTAAGCGATGCGATTTATTTGCGTCGGAGGGCAGTCATGCGTAGGGGGGATATGTAGGAATTGAGGTGTCCAGCGCCAGGATGTTTCATCGCTGAGCCAAGACTGATAGCTAGGTAGTCTTCATAGCGGCCCTGACTTCTGTTCTATCGAAGCCTATCGAAAGGAGGAAGATCAGTTGCTCCGAGGACGATCGACGTGCCGCCCGACGATTTCCGGGGAAATGGAGCGCCTGACGGAGGGCAGGATCCCTTGGATGATTCTATAATAGGTAGCAGGACGTCATAATGTTCATCAGCTGTGCAGAGGGTAGACTGTGGCCACGTCTACCATGACAACACCGACATCATTCGAGAGGAGAGTCGACATCACAGAATATTTTCGTTGATGCTTATCGGTCACGTGTCGATAGTCTAGGCCGCTTTTGATTCCGCTTAGTCATGGGGAGTCTCCACACCTCGGGAAATCCCCGAGGATCTTCCCTGCGCCTCGGTGACCGACCTCGGAAGTCGGGCTCAAATTCCAGTTCGGGACTGAGCGACCACCTCCGCCCCCGACATGGTACCTGTGATCCATCGAAGAAGCACAAGAAGACTTCTACCGAAGGGGAAAGGCCCCATCTTCCAAAGAGCTCATGAGGCGCGTTGCAAAGCAAGCAGGACAGACTTTGCATTTACTTGTGTCAGGAAAGCACACTGCACTGTTTAGTCCGCAATCGTTACACTTCATCCACTATTTGGACAAGCTCAAATGATTCATTGTGGAAGAATAGCCAAAACTAAGCTAAGCAGAGTTACTCTAAGCTGGCTTCCAGATACTATGCAACTGTATAAATCCACCATCCTACCTACTCAGCAGATCAGTGAAACGCTCTTCCGGCGAATTCATCATTGCCAGTCATCCCGCTCGACCTATCGCTCCCAGTGGCTGCCGCCGATGGCAACAATGTGTCCAACTGCTCCTGGGTAGGCGCGGTCACAGCTTTCAGAATGGTCACTGCTCTACCCGACGGAAGATCATAACGTGCCCCCGTGCAGTCAAAGTCAATAGCTCGGATTTCCTCCTGAGGATCCTGCCTGACCACCAGCCCAACCGTATTCTCTCTCACATCGTCCATCAATTCCCTATCGAAGAGTGACCGGTAAACGTCTCGCAGGCCCATCATCTCCGATGGCTTAATCTTCGAGAGGACAGCGCCCATGCGCTCAGAATCCATCACGCCCACTGCGAGAGCACGATTAAGGCCTGGGACGGCGCGAGTGGTACTGCCTCGTCCCAACCAGTAAGGCTCATGGTAAATGAAAAGAGGGTAGGTTTCGACGGGGGCATTGTTCACGGAATCGATCAGGCTGGCTAAGTTGGCAAGCTGTTCCGCTAGCTGCTCAACGGTTGTCGGTCCCTCCTCGGTACTTGCGTCCGGTGCCTTGGTTGTTGGCTCCTCTTGTTTGGCTTGCTCTGTTTCTGCCGTTGGGGAAGTGGACGAAAATTCCACTGTCGAAGGATTAGCCGTTGACGCCGTGGCTGCTCTTTCTGACGCCTGCTGAGCCTTTGCTGCTCTCCTCCTTTCCCTCCTCTGCCTTGCCTTTGACTTTCTCTTGGCCATGTATTGCACTTCAGGCCACCTTGGTGTCGAAGCAGCCTCTAAAGGCAGCATTAGGAGTGCTCAGCAGACAACAGGCTTGGTGATAGGGCAGGCTTACGGGAAAGCCAATCTTGCACTCTTTCGGCGTGGTCAATATCGTTGGAATGACGCAGTAAGCTCGGCTGAGGATGACTATGAGCGGAGTGATCGACGAACTGCTGATTGCGAGATAGATAAGATGCTGATGATGGATAATAATATAGATGACTATTTCGATGTGCTGTATAGAAGGAGGAATAGATGGGGGAATAGAGGGAGGAATCATGTCTCCACGATGTATTGGTTTTCTCCGGATGGACCTTCGCGGTCTTGAGGTAGGATCGACCCGAGACATGATTTGGATATAGTAATGGTAAGTGGATGAGGGTTGTTGGGAGATGGGGTAGAGTTGTGCATTCCTCCTAGTCAAACCCATCATAGAGGGACATCAACCTGGCTCGGAAGGCGCATACTTCCCTAGGACGGTTGCTAGTTTGTTGCCTAGGTAGGACTGGCTCCTGCCCTTCTATCTGAAATGGAAAAGGGAGCCTCCCCCTCCGGAACTCATTTCCTAGCTCACGACAAACACATGGTACCTGATATACAGAAGGAGGGGGGGGTTTGCCTTCAATCCATGGTTCCGTGCAATGGGGAGGCACAGTAACCATGCTTGACATGCCCATCACATTCACTCATTAACCAACGAAATAGACGATGGGTTTTGACTGCTTCAACTTGTTCTTCTTGCAGCATGAACTGAATGTCCCATGCTTTGTGCTGCCCTTTGGGAAGAACCACACACAGCAAACCATCCAGTAGCCCCACGTGTAGGCAAAAGTCGGCTACCATGCCCAAATCTCCGCCGAAGTTGAAGCTATAAACATTCAAATGCCGAAGGCTGGTGACGGAGAAGTGACCGCCTTTGATGTTCATTGCTCCCCAGTCGCGCTGCAGCCGCAAATAAGTAATCAAGCTGCGAATGTGCGGGTCCGTCAGGGTTCGGATCTCCTGACGGACTGCGGCGGCTGTGTTGGCAACTTGAATCAAATCCTCATTGTGCATGTTGAGATGATGTGCCGCGATGATCCCTTTGCCGATGTTGACTTTCTCTGTCAGGGACGACTGTGGCACGTGCAGCATGGCGACCATGTTCCCGAGATATAGGTCGGGCCAGGGGGGCCTCATGCGAGGTCGAAGGTTGGCCGCAAAGGAGATTGTGTATTCACCCTGGTGTAGTGCTGTGCCTTGATCCTGACGCAGACACACCGCAAGAAGGGAGGTCAGCACATCATGGCATGAGATGTAGTCCGGAGAGGTCACATCTGTCTCGTGCTGGTGGTTGGTGGATAGTAAGGCAGTACAAACACCTTTCAACCGACGGATCGTTCGGTCCGGCACGTTGAATCGAAAGGATTCGAGGAGCGGCGGTGCTATTTCCGAATGGCACTTTGCAGGGGGTAAGCATGATAAAGGGCTTTCCGCGCTGTAAGTGGCGGAAAAGTCTTTCCATACGCTTTTGCCGGTTGCATTTTCAAGGCACAATTGCTGACGCAATTTCATGTTGACTTCATGTAGGTCTGCCGTGCTCTGCGTACCACTGCAGCAATGGCTTAGAACACCGAGAATGTTACCAACCCCGGTGCCGTCAAAGACCAGGTGGTTGAAGCTGACACCCAGAAGAATCCCTTCCGTCATCATGTTGGCGGCAAATCTCATAGCAGGCTGGGGTTGCGTGGGATCCAAAACCGTCGGCAGGGGTGCGTACTTCTTGGAAAATTCCAATTCTTCATCTCCCGTGCAGGTGGAGATGCTCCCAAGTACTGTTACTGATTCATGAAAATGGTCCCGAACTTGGAGTAAAGATACGGACTGAGTTGAACTAGAGGGAGGTCGGATGCAGTGAACGTTCTCGGGAAATATGATATCGGAGGACACCACATCGTACGTGATAAATGGAATGACCTCGGTGAGCTTTCTAATGCCGCTTCGAAGTGACCCCAAGCCCTGTTCTGGCTGCTGTAGGCTGAAAGAGAGGTGGAAGGTGAAATACACCTTTGGGATGCTATGGTCGAGGGGTGACAGAACGTGCCCGTCGGGTTCGGAGATAGACATCTCTTGGGACAATTGGCCGAGTGAGAACCACAGAAAGAGGGCAATAATCTTGAGATCTGATTGTAGTCAGTACTCGTGCACTTTCCAGCACTTTTCAGTGCCTCTCCCGCGTCACGATATGAATAGTCTCGAAGTACCTATGGGCATGGTCAAGTGCCAACGGTCTTTCTAATAGGACCGGGGGGCCGTTCGACTCCTTCCTAAAATATACTAACACGTGCCTTGATATCAGGATTCTCCCTTGATGACCGGAAAAGCTTGCATAGATAGCTGAGTCAAATGCCTTACCCGCTCGAGCAATCACCAAGGAACCGATCTTAGATGCAGATAACCAGGGTTGAGCGGACAATGAACTGATTATGGAACAGGTGATCTAAGTAGAAAGAAAGTAACGGCCCCGGAAACATCCGGAGAGAAGAACTGCTCATGGGAAGATCTGAGGTGGCATGGGGAGGTCGTGGTAGAGTTTTCGTGTTGTCTCGCCTGCAACCACTCACCCTCCCTGGAAACCTCATCCTCTCCCCGATGGGGGTGAGCCGCGAGGAGAAACCCCCAAGCGCTTTCGGAACACCCCATAGTTGTGTACGTATTCAGTCTCGCAGCTGTTATCAATGATAAATCTTCAGTCAAAGCTTCAATCATAGCGGTTTGCTGCCTTTGAAGATACATCATGGTCCAAACTGCTTACCCGTTCGTACTATCATACAATTTCGCCTTTATGACAAACTCTCCCAAACGTGGTAGCTCAACTAAACAATCTCAACCTATGAGCCCCCACCGCGGGAATATCTTCCCCAAAGTTTCCAGAAAGGAACCATAAACAGTCCTCTAACTCACTGACCATCAAGGACAACCGAAACCCGCCAACCGTCCGAAGTCCGAAACCTCTAAGCACCCGCAGGCTTGCTCTCCCCTGTCTTTCTATAGACCATAGTCTCTCCGACTTTCACTCATACTACTTCTGGTGGATCTTATTCTTATCGATCCAGACAATCTCGACGTTTCCATGGGTGATGATCTCCGGTAGCTCGACGCTGTAGAAGATGCCGGTCATCGCGGGGGTCTTGTCGTGCGGAAAGACGAGGTAGGCGGTGCCCACTGTCTGCTGCGCGTATTACTTGGAGAAAGCCTGCTGGGAGCGGGTGAAGGTGGCCGTGTCGACGTCCTTGTACTGGCCCTTCTGGAAGAAGTTGGCGTTCTTCCAGATGTCGCGCACCGAGGTAAGGTGCTGCCCGTTGGCCCACTTGACCAGCTCGTTGATGGACTTCTCCGGCTGGCCGGTGAAGAAGCTCATGAGTAGGTTCCTGCTTGGAACATCGATCGACGATGATGGTGAGGCTCAACATCAAGTAGAAGTGGTTCGTTGGGAGCCTATGATAGTCTTAGTAAGCCACCTAAACCAGTCAATGGAGACTAAGTTGGGAATCTGACAGGATTCTCATCCCTTTCACTCAACAGGCGCAATGTCACAGCCGTGCTGGTCTAATCTCCGAACAATTCTCGCCAACATCAGCAGCTCGACCCAGGGCACCCCAAAGCTCTCCATCATCCACTCAGTAGGGAGCTCCTGCTTAATTGAATCGTGAGACACGGAAAGCGAACCTTTCTTTCAGACACCGTTCTCGTTCTCTGCTCTCTCATACAAAGACGCACATCTCTATTATGGGGTCATCTCTGGGAAGGCACGTGCACGAGAAAGTTGAAACAGACACCACCAGCGGCGATCTTCAAGCCATTCGAGACCTGCACCAGTCAACCGATTCCAAAAAGCAACCCAGCCTACTAGCCCACATCGCCGCCCGGGCGGCAGGCAAAGCTCAGCTCGAAATATTGGATTGGGTCTTCAGCGAGGGGTTTCGCGTCGCCCCGGGCTCCTTGAACAATGAGTTCTACCATCAAGCCTGCTACGCACAATCCCTTGCCGTCTGGAAGACCCTGGTCAAGAACGGGCTCGATCTGAACGGCCACCACAGCGAAGTCGTCGGCGATGCGCTGAGTCTAGCAGCCTACTACGGCAATGTGGAAATCGCGCGCTTCCTGCTGGAGAACGGACAGGATCCCAACGAGGCGTGGGGCGGGTACGATGACCTGGAGCCCGGCGTGGCCGCGTTAGCTGGCAAGAAGCCGTCAGTGGAGATCCTGTGGTTGATGCTGCAGCATGGATGGCGCCAGGGGAGAAGTGCCGCGCACATTGCCGCGGCGGAGCTGGGTAATATGGAGGCGCTGGAGTTGCTGGTGGAGCATGGGGCGGATCTGGAGGAAGCCAGTGGGTGGTGGACGAACTGTGGAATCGTGGAGGCAGATCAATGGGGCACGGCACTGTAACGTGCAGCGTATAAGGGCCAGCGAGAGCCGGTGATGTATCTGCTGGGCAAAGGGGCGAATGTTCACTTTAGAGATGAGATGGGGCGATCGATTCTGTGGGCTGCAAAGCAGGGAGGGAATGAGGAGGTGGTTGAGTTGGTGAAATTAGCTGGTCTGGAGGATGAGTGAGTGACGGTCACAACATGCTAATTGCTGATACGGTCTCAGAACGATGGTATAATCACGGCCTTCTTCAGTATATCTTACCAATGTAGTTCATCTGAAGGTGTTTGACAAAGGCTTTCCTTTGAGGAAACACAGACTTATTCGTCTCCTTGATATGGTAGATCGAGAATGAAAGATTAATTGAGAAGCCAAACGCCACTAGAAGTCAAATTGTTGATCTCTGGAATTTCACTCGCGTGGACGATTCTGCATAGATGTGGAGAGATAGAGAATAAGTTAAACATGCTCGTGCATGGTGGAACGGTTACGGTTACGGTAGCGAGTGGGCCTGGCGGGGTGTTTGTGGTGCCTGAACCGACTGGCCGCCCAGCCCAGCCCCAGACCCAGACCTATTCCTAGTCAGTCCCACTGCAATCCCAGCCTCTTCCAGGTCTTCTCCCACTAAGCTCCCGCTCGTTCCCTTTCTCTTCAGGCCTCAACTCACTCCATCTTCCTTCCTGTTTACCTTGACTCCGGTTACTCTGGTTGACTCCGTTTGACTCTTTTCTCCTCCTAACTCCTCCTAACTCCTCCCATTCCTCCAGATACTTCCTCTCTCTGGTACCTCCATGTCGACAGCACCGCACTCAGGTCCAGGCCTGAAAGATCTCGAGAAAGAATTGACTTGTTCGGTAAGTTTGATGACATGAACCACTGGAATGCTGCGGGAGAGTTGAAGGGTGTCCCTCCCCCCCCACCACCACCATGATTCGACGCTCTCCATTCGCCTCCCTTGCGTGCCAGCTCATCTGTCAGAACTAGACATAATCTCCATTCTCCTTGGAACGGGACGGAACAGGAAGATCATCGATCGAAAAATATGCAGGAAACTAATGACACTCAACTCCACCTAGATTTGTACCGACCTTCTCTACCAACCCCTCACCCTCCTTAACTGCCTCCACACCTTCTGCGGCTCGTGCCTTAAGGAGTGGTTCGCCGTACAAGGAACCCGTTCCCGACCGTCTTCGTCCGCCCGCTTCACCTGCCCATCATGCCGAGCTACCGTGCGCGACACCCGTCCCAATGCGACCGTGACGACATTGTTGGATATGGTCTTGGCGGCCAGTCCCGACCGGGGCAAATCCGCCGCGGAGAAGGAGGAGGTTGCGCAGAGGTATAAGCCGGGCGACTCAGTCTTTCCGTCCACGGATGCGGGTTCAGATGCGGAGGATCGAAGGGTGCTGGAGGAAGTGAGGGCTTTGAGTTTGCAAGACAGTCGGTCGGGATATCGTCAACAACAACAGCAACAGCGCTCGCGACATTCGTCGCGGAGTCGTCATCGGCGGATGGAGGGCACGGGTACCGATTCGGATGAGCGTCGAAGGGAGGAGGATGGTCGGTCTCGACGACGACGGGAGGGCTCTTCACGACGACAACCACGGCGGACGACAGCTGGGGAGGAGGGTCCGGAACGGTCGACAAGGCGGGTGGAACATCAGTCGAGCTTGAGGTCGCTGCTCAGCTTGTCGGATACGGAAACGATGCAAGAGGAGATCTTGCGACAGATTTTTGAGGAGGGGTTGTTGGATGATATCGATCTGGATAACATGGGTCCGTCACAGGAGGAAGAGCTCAGTGAGCGCATTGCGGATGCGTATCGTCGAAGGCATAGGCTACGAGCACGGTCTCAGCAGCAACGGACGGAACCTCGAGAAAACTCGCAGACCCCGTCTTCTCGGCCTCGCGCGCGATCCCAGTCTGTGCAAAGGGCGGAAAATGGTACAGGTGCTGCTGCTATGAGGGATACGCGAGAGTCGAATGGCGGTCCCCCGGTATCGAGACCATATCTTCTGGATCCGCTTGTCGCGCGTGATGGGCATTCGGGCCATCAAAGACGTCTGTCAGACCAAGGGGGAACTAGGACTCGTCGAAGGACGTCGCCTGTACCGGTCGGCGCGGCGTCCTCTTCGGAAGTCTCGCTGCGGCCTGCGGCGCGATCGTCAAGTGACATGGTTGCTGATCGACCCCGAAACTCGCAAACTGGTCGCGTCCGCACAGCGGAGGCTTCAGCAGCGTCCCGGTCACGCCGTGCCACTGCATCTGAACAGAACGTTCCCAACATCTGGGTTGAAGGAGCAAGGGAGAGGCAGCTTCGCCCGTCTGGAAGATCATCGATTGATTCTCCTCGAGTGGCCACGGCTTTGAATCACAGGGGACGCAACGGCTCTTGGCCTTCAAGCCCGGATGAGCCCTCAACAGCGTCGCCTCCAACCAGCTCTTTAGTGGCCGAGGTAGGTGTCGCAGCAAGGCAGGAGCCTCGTTCACGACCTTCATCCTCTCGATCAAACGCGCCTCCTCGTTCTGCGACACTGTACATGGAACCATCAATCAAATGCGACCGGTGCGATAAGCCCAACATACAGCATGACCTACATAAGAAGTGTCCCACATGTAACAACGGAAACTTCTACCTATGTCTGCGATGCTATCGCACCGGGCGCGGCTGCCTCAATTGGGCTGGCTTCGGAGCGTCCGCGAAAGCGGATCTCGAACGCATTCGCGCATCGTCGACCGGTGAGCCTCGATCCCCTATCGATACATCGCATATACTCCAGTCTTGCAAGTATCTTCGAGCACCAGAATCTGCCTATCGATCCGACAGAGACGGGCGAATGGTTACCAACGACGACCCCGCCCGAAGATTGCAGACTGGGCTGTTCTGTGACAGCTGCCATTCATCAGCAAACGACTGCCTCTGGAGGTGTAATCAATGCAACGAAGGAGACTGGGGCTTTTGCAACCGCTGCGTCAACCAAGGTCGCTGCTGCACGCACGCCCTGCTTCCCATCTGCCGCATCACCCGCGATAGCCCATTAGCATCGCCAACAGGGGCATTCACAATCGCCCCAAATGGCGCCTCAAACGACTGCAGTGACGCCTCCGGGTCAGGAACTGAGATTTTCAAGATTCTTTCTTTCACCACAAATTGCGACATTTGCACGCACCCGATCCCCGCATCAACGCTCCGCTTCCACTGCCTTGTATGCAATGACGGCGACTACGACATCTGCGCGAATTGCTACCTGCGCCTTGTTGCCACTGGCAAGATTCGCAAGGAGAACGGTCACAATGGCTGGAGGCGCTGCATCAAGGGGCACCGTATGATAGTCGTTGGCTTCGAAGATCACGACGAGGGGCAGCGCCGTGTCATCGTCAGGGATCTAGTAGGCGGATGTGCCTTGAACGACGACCACCTTCAACAGCCGTCATCTTCTCCATTTGCTGTTCCTACTCCTACAAGCATCCATGCGACTGCGTCGACTCCTGGAACTCCGAACTCTCCTTTCCCTCATCACACTACACCATTTTCGTCGTCTGCTGCAACTGGAACAGGACCAGGAATTGCATCGCCCGAATTCGCACCCGGAGACTGGCTTTGGAAGGAAGGGTCGGAGCGACGCAAAAAGGCCTCCCGTCTTCGTCCCTGGCCACTTGGCGGCGAGCGCGATCGCACCGCCCTCACGTCTCCTCCGTCCTCCGAACCCAGCACCCCAAATACGCCGACATTCGCTGCTCCAGTCCTTCCCACCTCCGCTGTACCGGCATCGGCATCAAGACGCTTTCCTCCAGATGGAGGCGTTGGGCTGATTGTCCATGCTCTATGGTCGTGGTACCCTGAAGACAGCGTCAAAGATGAACTGATGTTCCCTCGCGGTGCTGAAATCACCGAAGCCGAGAACATCAACGATGACTGGTACTGGGGCTGTTATGCCGGCTTGACGGGGTTGTTTCCGGGCTCGCATGTGCATGTGGTGGATGAGGTCGTCTAGTATCGGTGATGGCGATGGCTGGAAGGTCTTGATACAGGTACTCGAGGCAGGTTTACCTGGGGGGTTGTGCTTGAGGGATCGTTTCTTTTCTGTTTTGCATGCTTCTGGTTTTGTTTCTGATTTCTTATGACCGACTGACATGGGCGTGAGACGGGCCATTTCTTACGACGTGCATGAATGATGTAGCATATTATGACGATTATGAATTATGACTTACCTTCGATATCATGAGAATGACTGTCTTATATTGCGCTGATAAGTAGTGTCTAAGTCGAATCAACATCCAGGAACGGTCTATCAAATAAGACTTGGACCAGGGAGATCAATGCAGTCTCTCAATCCGACCCAAACCCACCAGAAGAGAACCGAACCTGAACGCCCAACTCCCACAACCAGACATCCATCTTCCATCCTTCATCCTTCATGAACACCGGAAGGAGCCCCTCCCGGCTCCCTCACCATACTAAACAACCCCGCCTCCGCATCCTCGCGCACCACCACAAATCCCAACCGCTCATACACGGGCACCCCGGCGCGCGTCGAATCGATATACACGGGCATTCCCGTGCGGTCCGCCAGCTCACACCCCCACCGGACCAACATGGTCGCCGCTCCGCGTCTCCGGTGCTGCGGGTGCGTCACCAACATATCGAGGTCTATGTTTACGGTCAGTAACTTATCATCATCAACATCCCCCTCCCCCTCCCCCAAAAATCAACGAGAAAGCAACCCAGGGCAGAAATACAATAATACCCCCCGCTCCTCGGCGCCATAACCTCCCTCCTCACCCGCTCACACCCGCCAAAGAACCGCTCACACAACGCCGCATCCGAGTCCGCATGCCACTCCGGGAACCGGGCGCCGCGGTGGCCCGGATCGAGATCCCACTTCCCGTAGGCGATTATACTGGTGTCGTTTTCTGCAGCATGACCGTCGGCGTCCGGTGCGGCAGCGGCAGCGGCACCCGCAGGGCCGAGCCCCGGATCCACCACCTTCAGGTACCGGACCCCGGCCTTCTGCTCCAGATCCTGGCGGTTGGCGGCGGCCCACCAGGCGCGCAGGCCCGGCGTGTCGGGGAACATCTGGCGGTCGGTGGGGGTGGTGAAGCCGGCGTAGAAGAGGTGGGTTAGGGATGGGAGGTCGGGGTCGGTGACGGGGTGGAGTTGGAGGGGTGGGGTTGGGATTGGCATTGTTGGTGCTGGTGCTTTGGTGGCTTGGTGGTTTGGGGATCGGGGGGGGGGGTTGTTGAGTTAGCTGAGGAGGGGAGGGATTTTGTCGTGCTGTGTGCTACACTGTGTTGTGCTGTGGGGGTTGGTGGTGGTGGTGGCATGCAGTTCTTTTTTAGCGGGAGGACAGATGGATACTTATATCACTTCAAGGCTCTTACTTGGTAACAGCTTTGAACTGTACTCGCGAGAAGATGCTCTTGTGTGCCGATGGACGGAAGAATAAATTAACTTACTACTGGGTGACTTACTGCGTACAGTGCTAGATTTATTAGCTAGCTAGCTTAGTAGCCCGTCGGACTAGCCCGCCTTCATTATCGTCAGCGTCGGCGTCGGCGTCAGCGTCAGTCAGCTTCCAGCCCATTCTCACCCTCACCACCCTCACCACCCCCCTGCTTATCTTTAGATTAAGACTAAACAATCTGTCGCAGACACTTCAGCTGTCCCGGTCGCGCTTCCAGGGAGAAACCTCACTGATGGGTCTGTGTTCGGATATAAGCCTGAGGCTGAAAACACCTTATTGATGGGAACTTCCTAGGTGATGTGTAGATATAGGCCGAGACTAGTTTGCAGGATGCACTGTTTGTTGAGGACTATTGTGGATTGGGGGCTGTAAGAACCCTTCCATACCAGTGTTCCGTGAACTAGGAACTACTACGCATACAGCCCTTGGGATTGAACTTGGGAGATGTAAGCCGCTTCGGTATCATTCAGGGTGCTTACTGGCAATAGTCAGCCCGGGATTTGTTGCTGCAGACTACCGACTCCCCGGCTTTGCAGGCAAAGTCCGGAGTTTGAGCAATCGACGAGAAACAGGAAGTGTATGCAAAGTCAATGATATCGAAACTGCAGCTCCAGGAAAATTAGTACAGATGTAGATGAACGCTCAATCTCTTTGAAACCCCACCCAACCCCAAACCCAACATCAGTAATTCCCCTCCCGGTCCTTCTCCCAGAACCAATGATACAGATCCTTGTGGGTGCCATCGTCCTCGACATAGTCACCCACCATCTCCGCCGTCTCGTTATTCCCCAGCAGATTGGCCTCCTCGGGCTCCCCCTGTGCGGTCAGGGAGTGCATCACCTCCTCCGCGCCCTGCTTGGTCTTCTCGGCCAAGTCGCGAGCCCCCTCCCGCGCGACGTCCGCATACTCCTCGGCCTGTTCGCGGGCGCGTTGGATCAGCTCCTCGGGGCTCGGGTACTTGCGCAGCGCGATCAGCAGCAGGTAATAGCTCTGCACGATGGCCGAGTACACCGCGTCCTTGGCCAGCATGGTGAAACCATGCGAGAAGAAGCCCTTGAGGACCTCCGCCGGTAGACCCGCGTACAGGCCCGCGACGCCTTCCGAGCGAGCAATGTTGATGACATTGCTGACGATGGCCGGCGTGAACGAGATCCCCTCGTCCGTCTCCGCGTTGCCGTTCTCCTTCGCCTGCTCCCCACCCGACGCTTTTTGCGCCGACGACGACAACGAAGAGTCATCGCCCATGACCTGCGCACGGGTCTTAGCCTTGGAGAACGGATACGTCACCGCCGAGGCCGCCGACTTGCTCAGCGCCGCCAGCAAGAACGTGACCGCCGGCGAGAGGGACCTTGAATTCTGCGTCGGATCCCGCCGCCGCCGCCGCCGCGACAGCAGCGCATACTTCAGCACCTCATTCAAGAAGAACGTCAACGACGGGTTGAGCGTCAAGATCAGCGAGGCCGAATACCCGGACCAGAACCCGCGCAGCCCCTTCTCGGCGCGAATCCGCGCCGCAATCTCCCTCGTACTGCTTCCCACCGACCCTTTCTTACCAGCAGTCTGCTTCCTCGCCACAATATTCGCCAACGGCGTCGTGAACAGCTTCGCAAACGCCCCCGCCACCACCCCGATCACCAACTCATCCAACACCGGCAAGACGGTACTCTTCCTCCGCGCGCCGCCACGACCACCACCAAATCGAGCCCGTATCCTCCGCTGCCGCAAAAACTCATACGCCAGGAAGAACAAAAACGAGTCGAACACCGACTTGGCGGTATCCTGCGCGAGACCCGTATAGAAGCTCCCCAGTCCCCCTTCCTGCGCGTAGATCTTGCGGGCGGCGTCGAGGACACCGGCGTAGCCACCATCATCATCATCGTCTCCAGCATTTAGGTCTTTCGACTTCGCCTTCTTCCCATTTTCTTGGTCTTGCTGGTTTGGGCGTTTCGTCTGCTGCGTCTGCAGCCGCGCGACGATCAGACTCAGCGGATACGTCGCCACATTGCTCAGGGCCGCGCCGATGGCGCCGGCCAGGGCGTTGCCCAGCGCCGGCAGAGCGGGGCCCCGCAGCGCCGCCTGCTTCCAGTCTTGATCCTGCGGTTGGGGTCGGCGAGGCTGTTCGTAGCGGTGGTAGAGTTGGTAGGAGTCCTAGATGTTTGAATGACGCTTAAGTTAGCGCTTGCTATCAGGTGTGGTGAACCATTTCCCAAGTGATGCGTAGGCCGCATTTGGAGTCATATAAGAGAGTCAACGGGGAAAGGGGGTAACGTACCAGCTCCGCCTCATAGGACATCTTGTATTCTGACATTGTTCATCACGGTGTATACCTGGGGCTAGATTGGTCGATTGCTTTTGGGAGAAGGTAGTCGCGTCAGGACATGGGGCGGTCTGTTTGGGAGATCTTGGTCTTCTAGTATGTTTGCGTTGTGGTGATGAATGGCAAGCGCAAGAATCTGGCTCAAAGATACTTGATAATTAAAAGAAAAACCAGGAGATAAGGTGGAGGAGTACCAGTCGACGGTGCATCGTTCCACTTTGTTCTAGTAGCCCATCCATCAAACGGCATGGTGTGATGACCGAGGTTGATTGACCCGAAAGGGAGAGGACGGGAGGGGGGCCGGGGCCCATTACATCATCGCCCCGGGGCGGGTCGTGCGACTCTCACTCTGGAGCATGTGATTCTGTCCCGTCCGTCCCTCGACTGCATAGTAACTCTGCTAAAGCACCGTGAGATCACAGAGAGTCGGAATTTACGCATGGGAGTGACCGACAACCCGGCAATCAGACTGATTGCCATTAATCTGGGAATCAATAGGAAGACACGTCACAGGCTGATGGAAGTTCTTCATTCATCTATCCACCCAAAGAATGCTTGACGCGACCGATCTACACGCAGACAACGAGATCGACAACTTTGGGTGCTGCAGCTCATATAGAAAACCTCCCAAGCCAGAATCCACCGACCTGGTAAAAAAAAGGAAAACAGGAGGAAATTAAAAACAGATGATATTAACGACCAATGCCCGACCAGATCCTGAAACCCCGTAACCCATTGCATCAAGCGAAAAGCATCCCAAGCAAAAGAAGACCGAAGACAAATTTGTCGTCTCTCGTGATCGTCGCATTTCATCCGTCCATCCATTTCATGAACCCATCCTCCAGTTGTACTCCAAAGATTGGCGCATGGCGACAGAAAAAGAGAATACGTCGTGTTGGCGAGCCAATTGATGGGCAAGCGATGGAGAATAAGGTGAACAGACGAGATGATGTGACGATAGAGAGATCGAAGCAGAACAGACGGTGTTTAACCACCGAAACCGTAGAGGGTACGGCCCTGGCGCTTGAGGGCGTACACAACGTCCAGCGAGGTGACGGTCTTGCGCTTGGCGTGTTCGGTGTAGGTGACGGCATCACGGATGACCGACTCGAGGAAGGACTTCAGAACACCACGCGTCTCCTCGTAGATCATGGCGGAGATACGCTTGACACCACCACGGCGGGCGAGACGGCGGATGGCGGGCTTGGTGATACCCTGGATGTTGTCACGCAAGATCTTACGGTGACGCTTGGCACCACCCTTGCCGAGACCCTTTCCTCCTTTGCCACCTGTTGATTGAAGAGCGGTTAGTATTTGGTAGCAAAGATAAGAGAGCTTGAGCTTGAGATAGTGTGGCGTGTGAGGGACGGAGCGTCAGGCAGGGCTGCGATCACGTGCGGTCGGAGCAGGGTGCTGCGAAGCAGCCTCATCCAGCCACAGCAGACGGGCAACCCACGTAACAATTCGCGTAACAGCAACACGATAAACAGAAAGGGAAAGAAAATAATAGAAGATTACTTACGTCCAGTCATCTTGGCAAAATGTGCGTAAAAGTCGAGATGGATGAGCGAAGAAAAATGATAAAACGCGGGGTGGAAGATGGATGGATGGTCGACGTGACGCGTAGCGGGCCAGAGAAAATCAGAGGGTGTAAGAAAGGGGGGAAAGGAGAAGAGAAACGGTTTAAATAGGTTTGCGGAGTGGGCGGCAAGCGAGAGCGTGATTTTGAGTGACTAAGCGTCAAAGGGTGATCTGGGAAGGATCAAAATGGAATGGAAACGGCTGATTGGTGGGTTGCGGCTGAAAAAAAGGGCGTTATGAACGGCCACTTTGGAGACGGGTGAAAGGGCACTGGGCACTGCAGCTGGCAGCCCTGGGAAAGGTACATACAGTAGGGTATGGCTGCCAACGCGTCCGCCTGGAGCCGCCTTCCCGCTGCGGGTACGCCGGTCACGTGCCCCACTGCCCCTCTTCCCCAACTCAAGGCCTGGACCACGCACCCATGAACTTCAAAGTTACTTGTAGTTAATACTTGGAAAGCAAGCTTGTATGCAGTGAAGAAAGGAAAAAAGAACTCACAGATCTAGCACCATCCTATTTCCCATTGACAACTGGCCTAGCACTGGCTACAACATGCAAAACTATTATCCTACATCTACATCTACATCTACTCGCAACCTTCATGTGCAAAGTGAAGATGTTCTGTGATTCACCCAGTCAGGCTTCAGACTGCATCCGGACATCCCAAAAACTCCTCTCGTCAAATGACACATTAAATAACGACAAGCCATCTTTGCCGGCCCCACCCACAATAGAACATGTACGAACGCTGGCAGAGGCAGGAGGAACAAGATGCTGAGCACGAAGAAGCAGATAAGGCCGATGCAGATCGACTTTTTTAAACAAACGCCTTCTGAATCTCACGGACATACAAGTAATCAACAAACAACAAGTGATCTGAACAGAGTTGGGACAGTCGAGGAGAAACGATAAAAGCCATCAGGTCATAATAGTCATCGTAGTGAACCACTACTTGGTTAAATGTAAATTAATAAACAGGATAACTTGTCCGGCATCATCCCGGATTCTCGCGGTTTATTACACATCGCAAAGAATCCGGGGCCTGACGCCCCAGACCGCGTATCCGAGAAATATACCGAGAGCCAAAGGGCGGCTGAACCCTGACTGCTCGCGCTGAAAATTTGCCAAACAGTTTTGCAAATGTGTCTGTGGCACGCGCATCTGATTGCGGAAAAGTAGAATGACGTCGTCGAGATAATCGGACCGGAGGTGGAAGAAGTCGCATGTAACAAGGCGATGCCTGCCCATCCAAACAAGCATCGTATCGTCCGGTTACAAAGTCTGAGATATGTATCGACATTCAATGGAGGAAGAGGACGGTTTCGGGAGGATGGGGGTTCTTGGTTCATCCTTGGATAATTGCTGGGGTGTTGGTTTCTTTGAGGAAATTATTCTGAATGTAGGGGAATCCGATGTGACTAGGGGAGGAAGTTCGTGAATCGGCACCATATGCCGCCTCGATGTGAGGTGACGAGCATGGAGAACCTGCGCTGGAACTGCTGCTGGAGCTTGTTCGGCTTGCAAAGTCCTTGACGGCCGTGGACTCGTTCCCGTCCGTCGAGAAGTTAGGCGAGCCGAAGAAACAATACTTATCCACCAGCTCCTTATATACGGAGGACTCGCGATGTGGTTTGCTCGATACTAGGGTGGAGGGTTTGTGACTGGACACAGAACTTGTTTGATGGCCATTGCCGTTTGCATGGCTGGAGACGTTATCACGAGGACTCATCCGCTTCTCTGAAGTGTGCTGATGATGACCATGCGGCGAGGGGTTGGATTTGGCGCGGGCAGCCAAGGTTGTTCGGTCATGCGTCGGTTTGGTCTTCATAGCCGCCGTCAATGATGCCTCAAAGTCATAGCGGTTGCCAAAAACCTGATGATTCTGCTTATCACGACGAATGGGAGCAGCAACCTCAACATCATGCGGCTCATCATCACACAATTGAGTTTCCTTGGCGGGCTTGGGTGAGTTGCCGAAAGATATATACTTATCCATCTCGGAAAAGTTGTCAAACGACGGAGGCATCGAATGGGGGCGAGTGGTGGACACCACAAAGCTCCTGCTGCGAGGCAACGCGGTGCGAGGCTTCGTTGGCTGGGGGTTCGTCTGCCCGACCTTCGGTTTGGTGATCTTCGTGAAATTGACTTGAAAGTTCTTGTGGTGGTTGTTGTCCCAATACTCTTGGCCTTCGACATTGTAGCGTATGCACACAAACATCGTCTTCTTTTCAAGGTTTGTCTGATCATTCAGCTTGATATTAAATGAGAACCTGTCATAAGCATCGTGGGCATGCTCCCGTCGAGATTGGTTGTTGTACTCTGCGGTTACTTCTGATACCGTTTTCCAATGATCCAGGGTGAAACGAGCCGCAACATGTTTGTGAAAGGCCAAGTTGGCAACAGCCACAACACCGATCAGGGTATGCTTGTCAGGAGAGAGATATAGACGTTCCAGGCGGACACGCTGATGGGCGCGGGAGGAGACATCAGTAGGGAAGTTGTTGAGCGTGATCTCCCATTCCGAAGTGCTGTCATGAGGTGTGTGACGGAAAGGAAACTCCCCGGCAGCATCATAGTCGTCGACAGGAGATGTGTCAGCACTGACAGCCTGGGGTTTGTCCAGCTGCAGAAAGTGCCGGATGTGTTCCAATTGAGCATCGAAGTGCACAGCCTTGGAAAATGTCGGCGTTCCCGGCATACTGGACGGACGCCGTCGAGCCGAAGCTGGACGAAGAGCGGGCCGAACGAGCTCTCCTGACTTCTTGCGTACCATTGGGTGCTTCACACGAGGTTCGTCATCCCGATCACTTTCTTCCGGGGAGGTAGTTAAGACTTCATCTTGCTTGTGGTCAACTAAAGACTCGGTCGCCGAACGTGAATGAGAGATCTTGCGAGCTTCTCGAGAAAGAGGCGGCCGCATATGTTTCACGGAGTCGGCGGTTGAAGCAGCCATGCTTGAAGACGACGTATCTTCATCAACCGGTCTCTCTGGTGAGGACATCCTTCTTTGCTCAATCGACCTCACGGCTGCCTCTAATTTCTCCAGTTGCAGCTCGCCCTGCGGTCGATATGATGTCTCTTCATCACTGGAGTTAGGAGCAGAATCAGGAGGAGAGATCAGGGCCCCTGGAGGAATGACCGCGTCACTCAAGGGAGGAGGAGACTTTCGAATACTCGACTGGGAGTAGCTGACATGGTCTGGTTTTGACGAGTGATCGGGCTCAGGGAAGACGAAGGCTTTGCTATTGGAAGGGCTCCTCCGATGCCTCCGTACATAAGACGTCGAGGAGTAGGAGCGAGGTAGGTGTGGACGGGGAGGGTGTGAAGAGACCACGGTGGGCGAGTTGGGACAGGAATTGGAGGTGAGTGGAGAGTGTTCAATGTGCTGCGCGGAAGGCGACGTCTTCAATGGCGCAGTGTAGGGCATCCGGCCGACCTTGTGTGATGCAACACAGAACGGGGGGGGGTGGATAGTGAATTGATGAGAGTCCTCCAGAAGCGAGGTGAGTTGCGAGAGAAAGAACGCCTGTCTTTGATCAAGAGACTAGAGGTCCGGGGATATGGCGTCTTTGAAAGTGGTCTTATCTTCCAGTCAGTTCCGAGCATCCAAGTTGGAAACGCAGCGTGAGACAGTGGAGCAGGAGGGACAGAAGCTTCGACCCGCGTCAGGACGAGGGAAATAAGTGGGAAGGAAAGATGGTTGAGTGAGTTGATGACAGAGCTGGGCGTGCAGCGAAAAGTGGAGGAAGAGTGGTGTGACTGGCGACGTTCCAGTGGGTGCCGATAAGTAGAAGGAGCGTTGGAGGCAAAGGCTTGGTGCGGAGGGCAGATGCAGCAAACAAGGTGTTACGACACATAACAGGATCCCAGGCAGTGGTACGAATTGAGAACGAAGCGATTGCGACCAAACAAATCACCGGGGATACATCTTGAAATCTCTAATTGCGCGAGGGAGGAGGGAGAGAGGAAAGAGGTTGCCATTGGAAGTGAGAGGCGACGCAGACAGGCGGAGGAGGCTGGAGATTCGGTTCTGTCAAGCACGTACTTACCTTGGAGATGCGACATCAGTTTGATTGCGACATTGATGAGATTGACGTTGAAAGAAACAAGACAGCAACCGCCAGGGATATAATTGATCGGAAGTAAAAACGTGGAATGGAAGAAGAGGAGGAGGATGTCAGAAGAAAAGAAGAAAAGAAGAAAAGAAGCAGAATAATAAGAAGAACGGAATTCGGGTTTGGTTGGTTGGGTGGGTTGGTTGAAGGCGAACCGGGATTGAAGTAGATACAAAGAAGTAAATCGGGATGGAGGGGAGGAAGGGAGGGGGAGGGAGAACGGAGGACCAGGATTCGATGGCGGGCTTGTCGGGGAAGGATGGGGAAGGAAATGGGAAAATGGAGTGAGTATATGAAAGATGACAGGCCCAGGGCGGAGTGGGAAATGGAGTGAGCCGCAGTTGACGGTCGGTATAGAGAGAAGATAGTCGAAGAAGATTAAGAATAATAAGAAGATTCAGACTCAGAAAGAAAGAGAGAGCGTTGAAAAAAAAATAAAACAAAAAAGAGGATTTAATTACATGTCTGAAAATAAATTAAAATATCCGGAGAGTCAAAAATAAGGATAATAAAAATAATAAATGAATATTTATTATTTAGAGAGAAAAATAAATGTCCCACCCACCCCAGCAAAAGAGATTCCTAATC